AGGGGACCTCCATTCCCACAATCAACAACCTGACCGACTGTGTGTGTGTGTGTGTGTGTGTGTGTGTGTGTGTGTGTGTGTGTGTGTGTGTGTGTGTGTGTGTGTGTGTCTCAAGCACCAGCTAGTCCATGACTGTACCCACGCTGCTGTGAGGGAGGTTCCTCACCAAGTCCAGTGTTTTTGTGTCCTTCAGCTTTTGTCTCGTGTTCCTTTGCTGCGTCTCGGTTCTTCAGTCTGTGTGAGCGGTGAGGCCATCGCATGCTCTGATTGCTTTTGGCTGCTGATCCAAACATCCGGTCTGCAACTATGAGCTCTTACTCTTCATCCTGTTCCAGTGTCATGTCTGACCCCGCCCACAAGGTGGAGGGAGTGTAAGCTGCTACATCAGAGCTCTGACTCACGACCTTCGATGTGGGGCTGTTCACAGGAGGTTTGCCTCCGGCCGATATCTTTAATCTGTTAATTACTGGAAGGGTCTAAAGTTACCCAAAGCTTTTTCCAGATGAAGAAGTGCTGCAGATTACAGTAAAGAGCCAGCGGCAGCTAGAAGGTTTGGTTTGCATGAATGAACTCAAAACCAGAAGTGAGGTGGAGCTCCTCAGACTGGTTGGACTGGTTTTGATTCACTACAGCTGCAGTTGCCTTGCTCCCAGCCACTTTATACCCACACAGAGGGAAGAAGTCCACCAGCCCATAAGCTCTGAGTTGGGGTCAGATCCTGGAAGGAATTCCGACATGCCTACGGAAGACCGTAAGAACGGTAACTGCTGCTTTCTTACGTGTGTCACAAGTTGTGCTGTAAGGTTTTATCGGTCAGCTGAATACCTGCGTGTAGAGACTAGGTGTGTGTGTGCTGCTGAAGGTGGTGTGTGAGAGCACGGCAGACATGGGTGACAGGTGCTACTGACACCTTCGATCATCACGGCTGTTTTACGTGGACTGATGTCACATCTGTAGCAACGAGTCACACGTTCTATAAAGGTTATGAACTCCAGGACGTGTGTTATCTGGAGGTTCTAATTAGAAAATGAACGGCCTAATGACGTCTGTCTGTTCAGAGGTTCTGTTCAGAGACCAGAGGGTAAACTGGACAGCCGATTAACCGCTTCATAGTTATGCTGATGACTCGTTTAGCATCTGGAGTTGTCCCTGATGAGTTCAAAAAGGCGGTTATCCACCCTCTCTTGGAAAACCAGGGCCCTCATGTACCAAACGTTCGTAGAAACGGTCCCATATTCCCTCCTACGACCCACATACAGGTGTGTGTACTCCTGGTTTATGAGACGTGCGGCGGCCTCTCGTACGCACGTTCCTCTGCACTCTGATGAGAAATCCCACCTGTGCGTACCCAGGTGCTCATGTCCGGTCACCGTCATTTACATACAGAAACTTTTAACTTTAACTTTTTACCAGCTCAGTGTCCTAGTGGTAGCGTGTCCGCCCTGAGACCGGGAGATCAGGGGTACGACTCCTGGTCGGGTCAGACCAAAGACTTTGAAAAAATGGGACCCAGTGCCTCCCTGCTTGACACGCAGCATTAAGGGGTTGGATTGGGGGGTTAAACCACCAAATGGTTCCCGAGTGCGGCCGTGTCTGCAGCTCACCGCTCCCCAAGGGGATGGGTCACATGCAGAGAACAAATTTCTTACACACATCAGTGTGTGTGACAACTAATGGGACTTTGACTTTAACTTAACTTTAACTCCCTCAGTTAACCATATTTGGTCACGCTACGTCCTCAGCAGGTGAGGGGATTCTCGGATTCTTCTCCAGGAAAAATAAGAAAAACTTTATTAACAACCAGATTGAGACACTGGCTGCAGAAGCGCCTAAAAACCAAACGGGTTGCAGAGGTGTTAAACGCGGTTGGGACAGAGGAGCGGTTCCTGTCAGAAATGAATAAAAACGGATCTGATGAGTCGTGGAGAGATGGGTTCTCGTTGGTATTTAAGGAATGTTCCGTTTGGATTTGGTTTCATTGGGAAATGTTGAGTGAGTGCAGCCCCTGCTGAGTCTGGTTGTGTATGATCGGGGAGCAGAGGAGGTTCTGAGGCGTTCTAGTTGTAAAGTCCATATGAACTGGAGTCGGATTCGTGAGGTTTGTCTGTCGCGCCACAAAGAGTCCCAGATCCCAGCAGAAGGAGTTCTCCCCACGGAGAACACGTTCCCTCCAGAGAGCACGCTCTGTTCAATCTTCAAATAACGCAGATTAGCCATGATATCATGTCAGATTCCCATCAGTCAGGTGTCTTTTATTGGTTTTGTCACCAGTTATGTGCAAAAGCCACTTTTCCACCAACATAACTATTCAATTCAATTCAAGTTCATTTCTAAAGCGCCAAATCACGGCAAGAGTCGTCTCAAGGACCTTCACATAGTAAAGTTGTAACGATTACATTTACATATTATTTAATGAACCATCAAATGTCAGATTGCATAGGAAGTATGAAATCAATCTGTGGATAACTTAAACCAGAAGATTGGACCTTTTTATTGCAGGGATTATGTAAGACTTCGTATTCACTCAGAGACAAAAGGAAGGGAGTCAAGTTTTAAACGTTTAAAGATGTATTACTAAACAAATTAAACTAGACTAACTTCAAACACTAAATGTATGGTGTAACTAAGGTGGATGAGACGGAGAATGGTGTGGTGTGGAATGTTGTTCAGAACCAGCAAATCCGAAGAAACGATTAGTTCTGTTGGGAGTGAAGGTGATGTCTTCGCGCTAAGCTTTGGTTAGGAGACTTGTAACACACATTCAACGCCATTCCGTCAGCCTACATACCCTTTTGGAAGTCCCCGTTAGATCAGGAATGTCGAGGTCCAGGTTGACCCTCTCTGGAACTGAAGCCGGTAGGAAAAGCAGCGTTTGCCGACCAGACCAGACTTTGAGATACTTCCGGGTCACGACAGTTTTGTTGGCATCTAGCGAGACCCAAAACTGGGTCGTGATGGTTCAGCTTTTATTCTGAAAGGAACCTTTGCAGCAGGTGGAACAGCAACAGATTTTATCCAGCTTGTCGTTGGTTGTTTCGGCTGAAGAGGAAAGTTACGGATTGGCCACTCCGACACTTTGAACTGGCGTTTAAGATGGCGTGGGCATAGTTTTATACTTCGGATGTTTTGGTTTATGGTCGAATGAAAAGACGACAGATTTACCAAACACCACCAAAACCACGCCTCCGTCAGATCTGGCAGATTCTGATTGGATCAGTAAAAGCAATGTGTCATGTCTTAACGCTACGTGAGATCAGTCCTAGTGGAAACATTTAAAGTCATATTACCTATTATATTCTATAGGATTGTAATAAAGTCATTAATATTTTAATTTCACAGATTGGTCACATCTTATTATTGACTAACACTTTGTTTGATTAGCTTTATTAAAAATAGAGTTCTTTGATTTATTAAAAGGAGAGAGTCCTTTCTTCATTCTTCTCTTGAGCTGGAAGGAAGCAGTTTAGAAGCAAATGCATGAGACCTTGAGGTCATACCTCATGCACACTAGTTCCTGCTGAGGAGGGGGTGGGGGGATGATCATTTCATTCTGTTACACAGTACAGGTCAGTTCATTAAGTAACAAGTTTCCTTTATAAGGAACCCAGCAGGTCGCATCGAGTCACTGACTAGTGTCAGTGACTTTACAGCAATCCTCATACTAAGCAAGCATGCAGCGACAGTGGAGAGGAAAACTCCCTTTTAACAGGAAGAAACCTCCAGAGAATCCTGGCTCAGTATAAGCAGCCATCCTCCACGACTCACTGGGGATGGAGAAGACAGAGCAGACACACACACACACACACACACACACACACACACACACACACACACACACACACACACACACACACACACACACACACACACACACACACACACACACACACACACACACACACACACACACACACACACACACACACACACACCAAGTAATGCGTCTATAGTTATATTGTGATTTCTTAGTAAATATTCTATTTGGTGAGAGATAAACTTTATTGTATTTATCCTAGTGGATCTATAATTAAACGGGTAAACTAGTAGTAGCACATCCAACGTCAAGGAAAGCAAAAAGTTATTATCAGGAGAGGGAGAATGTATTAGTGGTTAGCAGCAGTGTGGTAGATGATGGCCCCCTCCATGAGGCCACCACAGCTCAGCAGAACATCGTTGTAGCTTCTTCTGGGGAGAAAAACACTTAGAGAGAAAATAAAGTTAACAGCTGAAATAGCAGGAAATAATACAGTTAAAGAGCAGATAGTAGAATAAAGCAGTAGAGTGTGAGAAGTGGTCAGTGTATCCTCCAGCTCATCTTCATTTGTGTGTGAATGGGTGGATGACTGATGGTGTTGTGGAGCACCTTGAGGGGTTACCATCCACTTTACTCTCTATCCTAGTCAGGGTGCCTCTCTGGTGAGGTGTTCCTGGTGAGAGGGACCATGTCTCTCGGCTGGCAACACCCTGGGATTCCTCTGGAGGTACTGGCCCAAGTGGCCGGGAGAGGGAGGTCGGGGCCTGTCGGCTTAGGCTGCTGCCTCCTCAACCTGACCCTGGATAAGCTGAAGAGGGTGGATGGATGGATGGATGGATGGATGGATGGATGGATGGAGGTCTATATTGACCATGCATTCCACAAACGTGTGTAGATGACTGCTCCCCCCAGCCTCCACTCTCCTGTCCTTGAATGAATGAGTCCATGAAGTGAACAGGAGCATGGACCCCAGCTGCATTCAGATGGACAGCAGGTGGTGAGATGATGAAGATCAGCCATACAACCCATTTATTCATGGACAGGGTTGCTGTCATGGTTCAGCTCCACCTGCAAGTGTCACCATGTACGCTGGGTTGAATGAGGCAATGGGCCTGTCGTCTACTGAGCACAACCCAAAGTGAACACCACCCTAAAACAGGACTGTTCCTCTGGTTGGAGGTTTCTCTGCTCCAACACACCTGATGTGAATCTGTGGTGATTAACAGGTGTTTCAGCCACTGAACCAGGTGTGCTGGAGCACAGACCCGGCTACAGCCTGCAGGACTGGGATTTAAGACTCCTGCTCTAAAATATCTACACACAGTCACAACAGGCTCCACCTTCTTCTCCCAAGCCTCCCTACAGATTAGTGGACACAATTCCAGGGTGTGTTTGTTGTCTCCAGACAGCATGAGGTCTTATGGAGATAATGAGGGATATTGTGACCAGGTGGAGCAGATACTTTTCAGCAGAAGTGTATTGTGAGGAGGAGCTCCTCAGAGACTGGTTGGACTGGTTTTGATTCACTACAGCTGCAGTTGCCTTGCTCCCAGCCACTTTATACCCACACAGAGGGAAGAAGTCCACCAGCCCATAAGCTCTGAGTTGGGGTCAGATCCTGGAAGGAATTCCGACATGCCTACGGAAGACCGTAAGAACGGTAACTGCTGCTTTCTTACGTGTGCCACAAGTTGTGCTGTAAGGTTTTATCGGTCAGCTGAACTACCTGCGTGTAGAGACTAGGTGTGTGTGTGGGCTCCTGTGCTGTGGTTCTGTTGTGGTGGATTCCTGCACAGCTGCTGTTTGACTCAACAGAAGGCATGAATGTGGTGAGGGATCCGTGCACATAGGAAACACAACACCGCCTCTGAGTGTGAGTGGTGACATCCAGCATGCATGGTTATGTGTTGGGAAAGTTCACTTTCTGTATGAACCAGTTCAGCTCCACAGTTCATGATTCTAATAGTTCAGCTCCACTGTTCGCGATTCTAATAGTTCAGCTCCACTGTTCGTGATTCTAATAGTTCAGCTCCACAGTTCATGATTCTAATAGTTCAGCTCCACTGTTCGTGATTCTAATAGTTCAGCTCCACAGTTCGTGATTCTAATAGTTCAGCTCCACAGTTCGTGATTCTAATAGTTCAGCTCCACTGTTCGTGATTCTAATAGTTCAGCTCCACTGTTCGTGATTCTAATAGTTCAGCTCCACAGTTCGTGATTCTAATAGTTCAGCTCCACAGTTCATGATTCTAATAGTTCAGCTCCACAGTTCGTGATTCTAATAGTTCAGCTCCACTGTTCGTGATTCTAATAGTTCAGCTCCACTGTTCGTGATTCTAATAGTTCAGCTCCACAGTTCGTGATTCTAATAGTTCAGCTCCACAGTTCATGATTCTAATAGTTCAGCTCCACTGTTCGTGATTCTAATAGTTCAGCTCCACAGTTCATGATTCTAATAGTTCAGCTCCACAGTTCGTGATTCTAATAGTTCAGCTCCACAGTTCGTGATTCTAATAGTTCAGCTCCACAGTTCGTGATTCTAATAGTTCAGCTCCACTGTTCGTGATTCTAATAGTTCAGCTCCACTGTTCGTGATTCTAATAGTTCAGCTCCACTGTTCGTGATTCTAATAGTTCAGCTCCACAGTTCGTGATTCTAATAGTTCAGCTCCACAGTTCGTGATTCTAATAGTTCAGCTCCACAGTTCGTGATTCTAATAGTTCAGCTCCACAGTTCGTGATTCTAATAGTTCAGCTCCACTGTTCGTGATTCTAATAGTTCAGCTCCACTGTTCGTGATTCTAATAGTTCAGCTCCACTGTTCGTGATTCTAATAGTTCAGCTCCACAGTTCGTGATTCTAATAGTTCAGCTCCACAGTTCGTGATTCTAATAGTGCAGCTCCACTGTTCGTGATTCTAATAGTTCAGCTCCACTGTTCGTGATTCTAATAGTTCAGCTCCACAGTTCGTGATTCTAATAGTTCAGCTCCACAGTTCGTGATTCTAATAGTTCAGCTCCACAGTTCGTGATTCTAATAGTTCAGCTCCACTGTTCGTGATTCTAATAGTTCAGCTCCACTGTTCGTGATTCTAATAGTTCAGCTCCACTGTTCGTGATTCTAATAGTTCAGCTCCACAGTTCGTGATTCTAATAGTTCAGCTCCACAGTTCGTGATTCTACTAGTTCAGCTCCACAGTTCGTGATTCTAATAGTTCAGCTCCACTGTTCGTGATTCTAATAGTTCAGCTCCACAGTTCATGATTCTAATAGTTCAGCTCCACAGTTCATGATTCTAATAGTTCAGCTCCACAGTTCGTGATTCAGTTCGTGATTCTAATAGTTCAGCTCCACTGTTTGTGATTCTAATCGTTCAGCTCCACTGTTTGTGATTCTAATCGTTCAGCTCCACTGTTTGTGATTCTAATCGTTCAGCTCCACTGTTCGTGATTCTAATAGTTCAGCTCCACTGTTCGTGATTCTAATAGTTCAGCTCCACAGTTCGTGATTCTAATAGTTCAGCTCCACAGTTCGTGATTCTAATAGTTCAGCTCCACAGTTCGTGATTCTAATAGTTCAGCTCCACAGTTTGTGATTCTAATAGTTCAGCTCCACAGTTTGTGATTCTAATAGTTCAGCTCCACTGTTTGTGATTCTAATAGTTCAGCTCCACTGTTCGTGATTCTAATAGTTCAGCTCCACTGTTCGTGATTCTAATAGTTCAGCTCCACAGTTCGTGATTCTAATAGTTCAGCTCCACAGTTCGTGATTCTAATAGTTCTGCTCCACAGTTCATGATTCTAATAGTTCAGCTCCACAGTTCGTGATTCAGTTCGTGATTCTAATAGTTCAGCTCCACTGTTCGTGATTCTAATAGTTCAGCTCCACTGTTCGTGATTCTAATAGTTCAGCTCCACTGTTCGTGATTCTAATAGTTCAGCTCCACAGTTCATGATTCTAATAGTTCAGCTCCACAGTTCGTGATTCTAATAGTTCAGCTCCACAGTTCATGATTCTAATAGTTCAGCTCCACAGTTCGTGATTCAGTTCGTGATTCTAATAGTTCAGCTCCACTGTTCGTGATTCTAATAGTTCAGCTCCACTGTTCGTGATTCTAATAGTTCAGCTCCACAGTTCATGATTCTAATAGTTCAGCTCCACAGTTCGTGATTCTAATAGTTCAGCTCCACAGTTCGTGATTCTAATAGTTCAGCCCCACAGTTCGTGATTCTAATAGTTCAGCCCCACAGTTCGTGATTCTAATAGTTCAGCTCCACAGTTCGTGATTCTAATAGTTCAGCTCCACAGTTCGTGATTCTAATAGTTCAGCTCCACTGTTCGTGATTCTAATAGTTCAGCTCCACTGTTCGTGATTCTAATAGTTCAGCTCCACTGTTCGTGATTCTAATAGTTCAGCTCCACAGTTCGTGATTCTAATAGTTTAGCTCCACTGTTCGTGATGCTAATAGTTCAGCTCCACAGTTCGTGATTCTAATAGTTCAGCTCCACTGTTCGTGATTCTAATAGTTCAGCTCCACTGTTCGTGATTCTAATAGTTCAGCTCCACTGTTCGTGATTCTAATAGTTCAGCTCCACAGTTCGTGTTTCTAATAGTTCAGCTCCACAGTTCGTGATTCTAATAGTTCAGCTCCACAGTTCGTGATTCTAATAGTTCAGCCCCACAGTTCGTGATTCTAATAGTTCAGCCCCACAGTTCGTGATTCTAATAGTTCAGCCCCACAGTTCGTGATTCTAATAGTTCAGCCCCACAGTTCGTGATTCTAATAGTTCAGCTCCACAGTTCGTGATTCTAATAGTTCAGCTCCACTGTTCGTGATTCTAATAGTTCAGCTCCACTGTTCGTGATTCTAATAGTTCAGCTCCACTGTTCGTGATTCTAATAGTTCAGCTCCACTGTTCGTGATTCTAATAGTTCAGCTCCACTGTTCGTGATTCTAATAGTTCAGCTCCACTGTTCGTGATTCTAATAGTTCAGCTCCACTGTTCGTGATTCTAATAGTTCAGCTCCACTGTTCGTGATTCTAATAGTTCAGCTCCACAGTTCGTGATTCTAATAGTTCAGCTCCACTGTTCGTGATTCTAATAGTTCAGCTCCACTGTTCGTGATGCTAATAGTTCAGCTCCACTGTTCGTGATGCTAATAGTTCAGCTCCACTGTTCGTGATGCTAATAGTTCAGCTCCACAGTTCGTGATGCTAATAGTTCAGCTCCACAGTTCGTGATGCTAATAGTTCAGCTCCACTGTTCGTGATGCTAATAGTTCAGCTCCACTGTTCGTGATGCTAATAGTTCAGCTCCACAGTTCGTGATTCTAATAGTTCAGCTCCACAGTTCGTGATGCTAATCGTTCAGCTCCACAGTTCGTGATGCTAATCGTTCAGCGCCACAGTTCGTGATTCTAATAGTTCAGCTCCACTGTTCGTGATGCTAATAGTTCAGCTCCACAGTTCGTGATTCTAATAGTTCAGCTCCACAGTTCGTGATTCTAATAGTTCAGCTCCACTGTTCGTGATGCTAATAGTTCAGCTCCACAGTTCGTGATTCTAATAGTTCAGCTCCACAGTTCGTGATTCTAATAGTTCAGCTCCACTGTTCGTGATTCTAATAGTTCAGCTCCACTGTTCGTGATTCTAATAGTTCAGCTCCACTGTTCGTGATTCTAATAGTTCAGCTCCACAGTTCGTGATTCTAATAGTTCAGCTCCACAGTTCGTGATTCCAATAGTTCAGCTCCACAGTTCGTGATTCCAATAGTTCAGCTCCACAGTTCGTGATTCCAATAGTTCAGCTCCACAGTTCGTGATTCCAATAGTTCAGCTCCACAGTTCGTGATTCCAATAGTTCAGCTCCACAGTTCGTGATTCCAATAGTTCAGCTCCACAGTTCGTGATGCTAATAGTTCAGCTCCACAGTTCGTGATGCTAATAGTTCAGCTCCACAGTGCGTGATTCTAATAGTTCAGCTCCACTGTGCGTGATTCTAATAGTTCAGCTCCACTGTGCGTGATTCTAATAGTTCAGCTCCACTGTGCGTGATTCTAATAGTTCAGCTCCACTGTGCGTGATTCTAATAGTTCAGCTCCACAGTTCGTGATTCTAATAGTTCAGCTCCACAGTTCGTGATTCTAATAGTTCAGCTCCACAGTTCGTGATTCTAATAGTTCAGCTCCACAGTTCGTGATTCTAATAGTTCAGCTCCACAGTTCGTGATTCTAATAGTTCAGCTCCACAGTTCGTGATTCTAATAGTTCAGCTCCACAGTTCGTGATTCTAATAGTTCAGCTCCACAGTTCGTGATTCTAATAGTTCAGCTCCACTGTTCGTGATTCTAATAGTTCAGCCCCACAGTTCGTGATTCTAATAGTTCAGCCCCACAGTTCGTGATGCTAATAGTTCAGCTCCACAGTTCGTGATGCTAATAGTTCAGCTCCACAGTTCGTGATGCTAATAGTTCAGCTCCACTGTTCGTGATGCTAATAGTTCAGCTCCACTGTTCGTGATTCTAATAGTTCAGCTCCACTGTTCGTGATTCTAATAGTTCAGCTCCACTGTTCGTGATTCTAATAGTTCAGCTCCACTGTTCGTGATTCTAATAGTTCAGCTCCACTGTTCGTGATTCTAATAGTTCAGCTCCACAGTTCGTGATTCTAATAGTTCAGCTCCACAGTTCGTGATTCTAATAGTTCAGCTCCACAGTTCGTGATTCTAATAGTTCAGCTCCACTGTTCGTGATTCTAATAGTTCAGCTCCACTGTTCGTGATTCTAATAGTTCAGCTCCACTGTTCGTGATTCTAATAGTTCAGCTCCACTGTTCGTGATTCTAATAGTTCAGCTCCACTGTTCGTGATGCTAATAGTTCAGCCCCACAGTTCGTGATGCTAATAGTTCAGCTCCACTGTTCGTGATGCTAATAGTTCAGCTCCACTGTTCGTGATTCTAATAGTTCAGCTCCACTGTTCGTGATTCTAATAGTTCAGCTCCACAGTTTGTGATTCTAATAGTTCAGCTCCACAGTTCGTGATGCTAATAGTTCAGCTCCACAGTTCGTGATGCTAATAGTTCAGCTCCACAGTTCGTGATGCTAATAGTTCAGCTCCACTGTTCGTGATTCTAATAGTTCAGCTCCACTGTTCGTGATTCTAATAGTTCAGCTCCACTGTTCGTGATTCTAATAGTTCAGCTCCACAGTTCCATAATGAACTAGTCCACAGCAGCGAGCGGGTTCCCTCAGAATTCTGACGTTTTCCACGTGTTGCCACCGTTGGGTCCGCTCTGGTACCCCGCTGCAGCTTCTACCCCAGCATCATGCTGCTTGATGGGCTTTCAGTCAGGTCAGGTGAGGTGAGGTAGGAAACAAGGATGTGAGGTAGGAAACAAGGATGTGAGGTAGGAAACAAGGATGTGAGGTAGGAAACAAGGATGTGAGGTAGGAAACAAGGATGTGAGGTAGGAAACAAGGATGTGAGGTAGGAAACAAGGATGTTCCTAAAGAGCAAAACATTAAAACTTTAAATAAGTCACTTTTTAAAATGTTGTGAATGAGTTTTCTGTTCGTTCCGACAAGTGAGAGAAAGAAGTTGAACTCTGGTCATAAGGTGCACCAACGCTCTAAAGTAAAGTAGGAACTAGTTACTGTGACAAGTGTGTCCTGATTGGACATGCCTCCTGTATTAATGGTGTGCTTAATTTGTGTTTGATGCTAGGAAAAATCAACGGTAACACCCCCTGAGGTCAGGGAACAGTTTTTAACCCACTTTCGAGGTTCGTTAAAGCAGCTGTGGTGGAAGATGTCTGTTTTACAAGAGAAACCCGGAAGGGTGCATCTAAAATCTGTTACCTGTAGAAGTTATTTTCTCTGAGGTAAATTGAACGCTCCGTGAGGTCCATCCTTAACAGCATAGACATGGAAGAGTAGACACCAGGCTGCATTTGTGGGGTCTACATAAAGTCTATGCTAGCAGGATGTTGTTAGCCTCGGCTTTAGCGCCATGGAGACCAGGGCGCTGGTCCACGAAGCAACTTCAGAAAATCGAGGCTTTGCTGATCAGACCTGCTTGACAAAGTGCACCTGTTCACTCAGGGATCGGTCGTTACCATGAGCAATGCTCAGGTGGATTCAATCCTCTAAGTCAATCACGGCTCACGCGCGTCCGCAGGCAGACCCTGTTAATCGATGCCAGATAAATGAGAATGGCAGTAAAGGACAGCCTTGTTCTTCATCCAGACGGAGCGATAATCATTCACCCATGCCTACGAGGACTACAGAGGTATCAGGGCTAAAACAGACCATGAGCTGTTTGATTAAAGCTGTTCAGTCAGAACCCCCAGAGTTGACGCGTTTCCATGGCAACGCCAGAAGGCCGCTTCATCTCCTGTTTCTCCACTTATTAAATAAAGTCATCATTGATGTGGCTTTCATGTTCTGCTCCAGAGTCTGGAGGTTTAGAGACGGGAGGACTTTGTTTCTGCTGCAGCTGTGAGTTTTAAGGATAAACGTTGGTGGTGGTCATGTGACCCTGAAGTTAACGCTGTAAACACATTTAGCATATAGATTACACACCGACGAGGACAAACATCACGTATGTCATTTCAAGCCTCATTCTGGAGTATTTGTCTTGTGCGATGGCACCATCTAGTGGCCGACAAGCATATCACACAAGGTTTCTCCTGTTTTTTTAAGATGGTGACTTCACGTTTCTGTTTCTAAATGTGCTTCTGTAGCGACAAACGGCTAAAACACGTTTACAAGTGTTGTTGTCATGTCTCTATTTCAGAGTTGTGCTGCTTACGCTACATCACCGTACGTGACGAGACTTCTACGGGTTTCTGATAACTCATCATTTCTGAAAGGGAAAACTCCAGAAAGCTGCTTTAAATCAAACATTAGCGTGATTGACACGCGTGCCCAGAGTACAAGCTGTTAAATTCAGTCCTTTTACGTATGTGTTAGTGTTGCTGTTGATGTGTCCTTTGGCAAGACGCTTATCCCACCCTGCCTGCTGGCGGTGGTCGTTACTTAGGAAGCTTAACAGCCCAGACGAAGCCATGGGCAGCCAGAGCAGTCACAGGCAGCCCAGTGCTCACGAGCAGGAGATGGCGACACCTCTGCATTCACTGATTTTTACACGTTTACGCCTGGTTCCACGTACTCGGTGGTCCTCATTAACGCTTTTATTTCAACAAGAAGGAATAAATGATAACAACTCTTTTTTTGCAGGACAGCCAAAAACATACGATGCCAACTTTAAAGGTCCGATCCAGAACAGGTGAAGAACTTTCTCTCAGAACCATCTTCGTGTTTCTCTTTTCACCCATTCACACTTTTTGTTTTCAGGAGCTGCACGGACGTCATCTGCTGCGTCCTCTTTGTCCTCGCAATCCTGGCTTATGTAGCTGTCGGGATCCTTGGTCCGTGTGTCCGTGTGTCCGTGTGTCCGTGTGTGTGTGTGTGCATGTGTGTGTGTGTGTGTCTGTGTGTCTGTGTGGCCGGGTGTGTGTGTGTGTGTGTGTGTGTGCATGTGTGTGTGTGTGTGTGTGTGTGTGTGTGTGTGTGTCTGTGTGGCCGGGTGTGTGTGTGTGTGTGTGTGTGTGTGTGTGCATGTGTGTGTGTGTGTGTGTGTGTGTGTGTGTGTGTGTGTGTGTGTGTGTGTGTGTGTGTGTGTGTGTGTGTGTGTGTGTGTGTGTGTGTGTGTGTGTGTGTGGCCGGGTGTGTGTGTGTGTGTGTGTGTGTGTGTGTGTTTAAGTAAAAATCTTCTTGATGTTTTCCAGCTTGGTCTCAGGGAGACCCGAGGAAGGCGATCTACCCCACAGACAGTCGAGGACAGTTCTGTGGACAGGCCGGGACTCCTCTTGAGTGAGTTAGCTCCAGTGTGGATGGAAACCAGCTGCTGCTGGAACTGGTTTTAGTCACCGTCATGTACCGTTCACTTCTATAAATGGCTGTTATGGAGGGTTACTTCACTGGTGCACGGTGGGGTAATCTAGGATACAAACCTAACTGAAACTGGAGCTAGCAGCTGGGAAACCAGAGCTTAGTGGTCTTATAACTGGCTGCTGTTAGCAGCAGACCCGTCTGGTTTCACGCGAAACGTCGTCCAGTAGAACGGTGGGGTGATCCGTGTACTTTGTTGTGTTCTGCGTTTACAGAAATAAAGGCCTGTTGTTTTACTTCAACATCATGAAGTGCGCCAGCCCCATGGTGCTGCTGGAGTTCCAGTGTCCCACCACACAGGTGTCCTCTAAACCCGTACGCTCACACGTGGGATGTAGGCCCACTGCTTTGCTGATCCTGTCTTTTCTGCTCTGGACCTTCAGCTGTGTGTGGAGAAGTGCCCTGAGACCTCCATGACCTTACTGAAGGCCTACAGCAACCCTAAAGACTTTGCTTATTACAAGAACTTCTGCAAGGAGGAGCTGAGCAGTTCAATGGTGAGCTGCAGTCTCTCATGTTCAGATTTTACGGGAAACAACCGAGCGGGAGTCAAGTTCACCAGAGAAAAGCTCCTGGATCTTCTCCCAGCTGGTTTTCCTAAAAACATAATGACCCTCCGGCCTCAGAAGAGCCAGATGTGTGGTTCAACACAGCTGTTCTTGTTCTGATGTCGTCTTTTCTGTCTCACTCCAAATGTTAGCCTGTTCAAGAGATCCTCAAGCTGGGCCTGTGTCCTGCTGTGCTGCTGCCCAGCAAAGCCAGTGAGTTAACAGATGTTCCACGCATCTGGAAGGGTGGCTCCCACCTTTGAAAGGGGAGTTAACGTGGTGTTCTCTTTCAGTCACCCGTCGGTGCTTTCCAGCTCTGGGCCTAAAGGGAGGCGTGGTAACCGTGGGAAACCAGACCACGTTCGATGACGGACGAGGGAACAGCTTAAATGCCAACGATCTGGTGAACGGAGTGAAGTGAGTGGGAATGAGGAAGTCTTCTCTGACGGGGGCGTGTCTGCAGTCCCAGCGGCTCACCTGAGGGACCTGTCTGTTCTCGGGTTTCTCTCCACAGGAACGCCACGGTCGGGTTTCTCTCCACAGGAACGCCACGGTGGTCATGGAGGCTCGTCAGGTGGTGATGAAAGTCTTTGAGGATTTCACCCAGTCCTGGTACTGGATCCTCATGTGAGTTCTGAGGTGGACGTCCATTACGCCTTGTTTTACGAGTCTAATCTGTCACCCCGAGTTTAACGTGAGCAAGTCTCCTACCCCTATTTCCTGATGGTGGACTGGCTGAACGTTGGCTCAGCTCTGACCCTCAGCTCGGCGCTGAGAGCTCGGCCATTTTATTGGAGAGAGAGAGACATTTCCCATAACCACGAAGGGTAGATATGGCTTATATCTCCTCTCCAGAGCTCAATCTGGAGGCAGGACTGGGTTTTGGTGCAGCGTAAGCACAGCGGATCCCTGCAGTAAACATTCGGCTCATGCACGGAGCTGCAGGAGTTTCCCAGAGCGCTCCCAGAAAGTTCGGTAAAAAAATGAACTCCGTCCCGCTCTGCAGCTCATCCTTTCTCCGTAAATCTGGAGGCAGAACCGACGTTTACTTTTTAAGGTACCGACCGAATTCCACAGTACCGACTGAGCACCGATTCACGTCATTTGAAACGGTGCCTCGTTTCGGTACCCGTCCTTCATAACGAGAACTTGCCTAGACAGCTGCGCATGCGCAAGAGCGTTATGTTGTCGCTCGCTGCGAGCCAGTTGTAAACAGAGCAGCACGGTAGAAAGAACGCACGCTAACGCTTGGGTCCACTTCACTAAATGTGATGGGTAACTGGGTGATGATGAAACCAGCGACAACAATCTAAGTGAGACATCCTCATCTTAATCTGCTCCGGTAGGTAAATAAAATGTTTAAGATAACGTTAGCTTGATATGTTAGCTTCCGTTTCGCTAATGGTGCGTTCGCTTTCTCCTCGGAACTCAGAATTCCCGACTAGAAGAACATGAACGCGCTCTAAAGTTTGGCTTTACTTTACTAAATGCGACGGGTGATTGGGTGAAGATGAAACCAGCGACAACGATTTAAGTGTGAGGCATCATCGTTTTAATCTGCTCCTGCAGTTAAATAAACTGTTTAAGATAACGTTAGCTTGATATGTTAGCTTCCATTGCTACCATTGTTATCAGCTAATGGTGCGTTCGCTTTCTCCTTGGAAATTCTAACTTCCCAGTAGGAAAAATCAAATGAAAAAAGATGGCAAAAAGTTTAATTATCAGCTTATAAAACTACAAGGAGGATGTTAAAATACAAACAGTTGTATGTTATTTATCGTGATATTTATCAAATATTGTTATATATTGAGAAAAATATATATTTAATTATAAAGGAGAATTAAAATATTAAACACTCAAAAGTATCGAAAATTGGTACCGTTAAGTACCGGTATCGATTCCTAGGTACCGGGAATTAGTGCCGGATCGATTCAAATGTCAAAGGTACCCATCCCTAGCTGTGAGAGAGCTAGCGTTAGCTGCGCCCACCTCAAGGCCATTCGAACACTCAGAAGATAAAACAAAGCCAGAGCTGCTGTTGCTGGCTGCAGCCCACCTCCTGCTCCCAGCAACCGAACAAACGCCATCTCTCCGTTTTCGTACTCGAGTCCATCTTCACATTAGCAGTTCACCGCTACATGAAGCTAGCGGACACGTAACTCCACCTCCGGTCTCGAAACAGGAAGTAGATTTCGTGGGCTTTACAACAGTAATGGTGATGCTTGTAGCTAGTCTCAGAAAGTTCACTTGAGTTACTTCAGCTCGATAAACGTAAAGTCAAACTTTCGGCTCGGATCTGAAGTACAAAGATGGGACCGGGATCGGGACCGGGACATCCCTAGCTGAACGGAGAAACGCACGTGTCGCACCTGGGAGGAATCAAACTCTGTAATTGTTTTGATAACGAGATTGAAGGGAAATGCCGTCTTGTCTCATTAATAAAGTAAATGTGTATGATGTCAGTAATATTTGTAAGCGTGACCGGAACCGTTAGAGGTGTTCTAACAACTGAAGGTAAAGACTTCAGGTGTGTTCGTCAGGTTCACCTGCTCTCATCCACCAGCTGGGCGTGCTTTTGGACCACCTGAACGTTGCTTCTCACAAGCGCCGCTAGAACACACGATGCTGACGTCAGTCGTAGCAGCTCCACATAAAGGAGCCGTTCTGGTCTCTGATTGGTTCTTTTTTATGTAGCCCTGCCTGTCCCGTTTTCTAATTGGATCTTTGTTGCGCTCCGTTTTCATCGTCTTTCGTTCGTCAGCACAAATGTTGGTCATCATTAGTCATACTTTAGTCCTTGTTGATGTTTTAGTAACAGATAAATACTTTTGACTGGTTCCAGTTGATGATGTCATAACTGTTCGACAGACTAACCCCCTCCCCCCCACACCTTTGCAGTGGTCTGGTCATCGCCATGGCCGTCAGCCTGCTCTTCATCTTCCTGATGCGGTTCCTGGCAGGCATCATGGTCTGGATCATCATCGCCTTGGTGATACTGGTGATCGGATACGGTGAAAACACGATTTCATCATCTCTAAGTGATTCGGTCATCTTGGCCCAGAGCAGCTGTAAACGGTCCTTCTGAACATCCGGCGTCTCAGCTTCAGGCGTTCCTGTACAGATGCAGCCACAGCTGGATTACTGTACGGAGGTTCTCTCCTGGCAAACCGTTTCAAAACGTACAAAGCTTTATCGACGAGCTTGAGCACACCAGGACGGTCAGTGAAGGCAAAGACGCCGTTATTCTTAGTAATCGCTCTTTCATGGAAACTAAACGGGAATCGTATCGCTGCGACCGTCTCGTTCTTCATGTCCACCGTAAGTGTTGGTGGGGACACGTCCCCGTGTCTCTGGCCAAGATGACATGTTAGAGCAGGTCTTTCTAGTGCACCTCTGGTTCTGGTCCGAGCTCTAACGTCTGGTTTGGGCTTTTAGGCATCTTCCACTGCTACATGGAGTACGCCTCCCTAAAGGGACAGCCCGGAGCTAACGTGACGATACAGGAACTGGGTTTGCAGACGGACCCCACCATCTACCTGCAGATCAGACAGACCTGGCTGGCCTTCAGTTAGTACACGTGCCATACCTGGATGACCTCACGCTTCCTTTGGTTCTCCACGGGATGACTCTGGATCTCCTCTGTTTCAGTGATTATCCTGGCCATCGTGGAGGGAGTCATCATCCTGATGCTCATCTTCCTGAGGAAGAGGATCCTCATCGCCATAGCCCTCATCAGGGAATCCAGCAAGTCAGATTCCAGTCTGCTGCATAAGTCTGTTTGCTACTGATGCCTCTGGACTTGTGTAACCGTCAGTAATTCTGGTCTCTGCAGAGCCATTGGACACATGATGTCGTCCCTGTTTTACCCGCTGTTCACCTTCCTGCTGCTGGTGATCGTGGTGGCGTACTGGGCAGTGACAGCTGTGTATCCTTTAGTCACCACGAGCAGGTGACCCCAACCAGAGGTTGCTCCACGTGCTGCGGCGAACTCCTAAAACACCAAAACAGTTTTCTCAAGTTCGTTCTGTAGAGGCAGCATATCCCGTAAAAGTCACCGTTAGCATCCTTCTGATAGAGCAGCGGCTCTACTCCGAGCCCCTCAGCTTATAGCAGCCAATCAGGAAGGGTGGGCGTGGCCGGCAGCTGCTCCTCTCCCGTAACGTGAAAGACCCTGAAACTGGTGACCAGGGGCCTCGTTTATCAAGCTTGCTTACGCACAAAACGGGGTCGGGAAACTGCGTAAGCAACTTTCCACACAAACGTTGGGATTTATGAAAGAACTTAGCGGAAAAATGTGAACAACTTTAAGCTGACTAAGGACCTGGCTCACACACATGCTGGACATGGAGAGCACCTGCAGTGCTGCTGCTGAGAAGATACAGTTATAAAATCCTGCAGCATTATCAGTTGTACGCACGCACGCACGCACGCACGCACGCACGCGCACACGCACACGCACACACACACACAGCCTGAAGTGCAGAATATCAGCAGGGGGACAGATTGAGACAGAACATCATGTGTGTGTGACAGTGTGTGTCCTGTCACTGTGACCTGATTGATCATGCACCCTGGCTACTTGTACAGGGGAGATCTCCGTTTGGGTGACTGGTTAGCGCGCGTGACTTTCACCTTGGAGTGTGGGAATCCTGATTGGACCATTTTGTTTTATATCGGCCACAGATCTCTCTGAAGAAGTCAACATTGACGGCTTCAGCAACGCTGTGCCACTCCGTGGATTTTCTCTTATTTGTTTTGCAAAAACACTTCCTTTCATTTCTCCACCTCACCCACAGGTACCTCATCTTCTGCTTGTGAAATAGCGCTTCCTTGATCTGCGGTCGTGATCGAAATGCTGCAACAGCCGGCTTATGTATATGCATGAGGTCCACAAGGCTCTTTGCATTGACCATTTATGGCAGTAAGTGGGCGTGGTGAGGGCGGGATGTGACCAGAATGCAGCTGAGAACCTTTCTCGTTAGTCTCTGATTTATGAAGCGGAGACTGCGTGCAGCTGTGCGTCCTCCATGTTTGATAGGTCACACACCTGCTTGGCGTAAGTACTTTTGTTTACTGAGCTTAAGTACGGTTTTAGTAAGGATTCTACGCCATGTTTGATAAATGAGACCCCTGGGCCTTAACAGAACAGATCAGCTTCTTATCTACGTCCAACCAGGCCATCTACAAGGTGTTTAACGAGTCGGAGTGCACCTACTCCAGGAACAACTGTGACCCGGCTGTAAGTTCACCGCCTCGCCTTCATCGGTCAGGCTGCCTCCGTGTTAAAGGTCGACTGCTGATTATCTCCAGAATTACTCGACGAGCCTGATGAAGCAGCAGTGCCGGGACTCGGAGTGCCTCTTTGCCTTCTACGGGGGGGAGACGGTGTACCATAAATACCTGATCGCGCTGCAGTTCTACAACGTCTTCCTCTTCTTCTGGTGCGCCAACTTCGTCACGGCTCTGGGACAGATGACCTTGGCCGGCGCCTTTGCCTCGTACTACTGGGCCTCGGACAAGACCAAGGACGTGCCTAAGCTGCCCGTCTTCTCCTCCATGGGGAGGGCTCTCAGGTGTGGACGCAGGTTTCTGGTTAGGGTCAGGGTCATGGCTGTGCTCTCATGAGCTACTTGGCTACTGTGTGTAAATCTGCAGCAGGAGGTGCTGGAAAGCGCTTAGATCACATTGAAAGTGCTTCCTGTTTCAGGTATCACACAGGAAGTCTGGCGTTCGGATCTCTCATCCTGTCAATCGTTCAGATCATCAGAGTGCTGCTGGAGTATTTGGACCACAAGCTGAAAGGTGTGAAGCGCCGAGTCCAGAGATCTGGAGACCGAGGCCCAGACGTTAAACTGCTGGTTTTTCCTCAGGAGCCCAAAACAAGTGCACCAAGTTCCTGCTGTGCTGTCTGAAGTGCTGCTTCTGGTGTCTGGAGAAGTTCGTCAAGTTCCTGAACAGGAACGCCTACATCATGGTGAGAGAGGTGTAACGGAGCAGGAGCCCCGGCGTCGCACTCGCTTTCCTCTGAGATGAATACAGTTTAGCAAAGAGGTCAAATCTGTTCTGTAGATGATCCGGTTGCTATGGCAACGCAACACAGGCTGTGCCAGTGTAGCTACCCAGAGATGCTACTGATCACACACACACACACACACACACACACACACACACACACACACACACACACACACACACACACACACACACACACACACACACACACACACACACACACACACACACACACACACACACACACACACACACACACACACACACACTGGTCAGAGGTGTGTGTGTGTGTGCGACCGACATGGACGGAGCCTGGGTTGGAACCCGTGACCCTCTGGTTTTAGGGTGAACTCCTATGGTGCTGTCGGCCATGTTGGACGCACCACCTGCCTTGGGCCACCATGGCCCATGTGTAGCGTCCTAGCAGCTGGACGGCTGCCCTGACCTCGGCGCTGTTGGACTCGAAGTTAAATCGTGTGTGTGTGTGTGTGCGTGCGTGTGTGTGTGTGTGTGTGTGTGTGTGTGTGTGTGTGTGTGTGTGTGTGTGTGTGTGTGTGTGTGTGTGTGTGTGTGTGTGTGTGTGTGTGTGTGTGTGTGTGTGTGTGTGTGTGTGTGTGTGTGTGTGTGTGTGTGTGTGTGTGTGTGTGTGTGTGTGTGTGTGTGTGTGTGTGTGTGTGTGTGTGTGTGTGTGTGTGTGTGTGTGTGTGTGTGTGTCCTCTAGGTGGCAATCCATGGCAGAAACTTTTGTGCTTCTGCCAGAGACGCCTTCATGCTCCTGATGAGGAACATCATAAGGTGACGCTCGCCCCGACCTGAACCCTTGGGCCGTGTGGGTTTCAGGCTGACGAGGGTTTTCTGCTTTACCCGACAGGGTTGCTGTGGTGGACAAGGTGACCGATTTTCTCCTGTTCTTGGGGAAACTTCTCGTCGTCGGGCTTGTGGGTGAGTCAGCTGGTTAGGGTCATAGGTGTGTCCGGGTGAGTGGACACCTGCCTCGTTCCCTCACCTTTACTGCAGTCTGAGAAGTGTTTCTACTGTTGGCCACGAGTTAGATCTTCAGTAGGAAAAGGAATAAATGTTCCACTCAGATGTTCTAAAGGGACCCAGGCGAATGCTCCTGTCTACAGGATCAGGCCACTAGGTGGCACTGTTCATCTAAACATATGAAGGTTTTTACACCGATGATGATTTTGGGTCCTTAAAAGCACCAGAGCAGCTTCTCCGGTCCTGTCCTGCCAGTCGAAGTGGAGGGTTAACTTTACCCGTCCTCCACAGGAGTCTTTGCCTTCTTCTTCTTCTCTGGAAGAGTGAAGGCGTTTGAGAACACGGCTCCTCACCTGCACTACTACTGGGTCCCCATCCTGGTGAGAATCGGGTCGGTGTTGGCTCATGATGACGGCGTTGTTTTGACACTTCCTGTTCTGTCCACCAGACTGCAGTGATTGGCTCGTACCTCATTGCTCATGGATTCTTCAGCGTGTACGCCATGTGTGTGGACACGCTGTTCCTCTGCTTCTGTAAGTGATGTTCATCCTGGTGGAGATGCTGTAGCTGCCGCTGCTTTGGGCCTGTCACTAATTCTGAGTTGCTGCTAATTGTCGTGCTGTTGCCTGTGGTGACCTTTAACCTTCCGCCTTGGCTTGCTGGTGGTTTGACTTTCTCCTTTTTGTCTCCTCTCTTTCCTCACGTCCTTCTTTTCCCTGCACTCCGGACTCTCCGCCTCCGTGTCCTTGACTAAACTTTCATTCATCGTAACACAAACACGCATGAAGGTGAAGATCTGGAACGCAATGACGGGTCCGCTGCCAGGCCCTATTGCATGTCGCCGAGTCTTGGTGAGGTTCTGCTGAAGGACGCGGCAGAGGAAGCGTCCGTGTCCTCGGCGCAGCCGCAGCTCCAGGAGGACCACCCTCAGGACCACACAGCTTAGAGTGAACAGTCGGTCCTGAACGGGCCGCAGACTCGCCTTTGTGATGGACGGTGACGGCTAAAGCTTTTCTTTCCTTGTGTTCTTCATTAGAAGAAAGCAGAAACCACGCTGGCTGGACTGGGCGTGTTGCCGTGGTTTCTGTTTGCCACACGCTAAAGAACAAACAATAGATGTCAAAGCAGCGTTTGGCCGTGGGGAGCGCTCCTTCTGATGCTGTCAGATCAGACTTGATCCTAACGGGGCGGGTCTACAGGGTCTTGGGTCTGCAGGGTTAGGGTCTACGGGGTCTTGGGTCTACAGGGTCTTGGGTCTACAGGGTTAGGGTCTACAGGGTTAGGGTCTACAGGGTCTTGGGTCTACAGGGTTAGGGTCTACAGGGTTAGGGTCTACGGGGTCTTGGGTCTACAGGGTTAGGGTCTACAGGGTCTTGGGTCTACAGGGTCTTGGGTCTACAGGGTCTTGGGTCTACGGGGTTAGGGTCTACGGGGTTAGGGTCTACGGGGTTAGGGTCTACGGGGTTAGGGCCTACAGGGTCTTGGGTCTACAGGGTCTTGGGTCTACGGGGTTAGGGTCTACAGGGTTAGGGTCTACGGGGTCTTGGGTCTACAGGGTTAGGGTCTACAGGGTTAGGGTCTGCAGGGTTAGGGTCTACGGGGTCTTGGGTCTACAGGGTCTTGGGTCTACAGGGTTAGGGTCTACAGGGTTAGGGTCTACGGGGTCTTGGGTCTACAGGGTTAGGGTCTACAGGGTTAGGGTCTACAGGGTTAGGGTCTACGGGGTCTTGGGTCTACAGGGTTAGGGTCTACAGGGTTAGGGTCTACGGGGTCTTGGGTCTACAGGGTTAGGGTCTACAGGGTCTTGGGTCTACAGGGTCTTGGGTCTACAGGGTCTTGGGTCTACGGGTCTTGGGTCTACAGGGTTAGGGTCTACAGGGTCTTGGGTCTACAGGGTCTTGGGTCTACGGGTCTTGGGTCTACGGGGTCTCGGGTCTACGGGGTCTCGGGTCTACGGGGTTAGGGTCTACAGGGTCTTGGGTCTACAGGGTCTTGGGTCTACAGGGTTAGGGTCTACGGGGTCTTGGGTCTACGGGGTTAGGGTCTATGGGGTCTTGGGTCTACAGGGTTAGGGTCTACAGGGTCTTGGGTCTACAGGGTCTTGGGTCTACAGGGTTAGGGTCTACAGGGTTAGGGTCTACGGGGTCTTGGGTCTACGGGGTTAGGGTCTACGGGGTCTTGGGTCTACAGGGTTAGGGTCTACAGGGTCTTGGGTCTACAGGGTTAGGGTCTACAGGGTCTTGGGTCTACAGGGTTAGGGTCTACAGGGTCTTGGGTCTACAGGGTCTTGGGTCTACGGGGTTAGGGTCTACAGGGTCTTGGGTCTACAGGGTTAGGGTCTACAGGGTTAGGGTCTATGGGGTCTTGGGTCTACAGGGTTAGGGTCTACGGGGTCTTGGGTCTACAGGGTCTTGGGTCTACAGGGTTAGGGTCTACAGGGTTAGGGTCTACGGGGTCTTGGGTCTACGGGGTTAGGGTCTATGGGGTCTTGGGTCTACAGGGTTAGGGTCTACAGGGTCTTGGGTCTACAGGGTTAGGGTCTACGGGGTCTTGGGTCTACAGGGTTAGGGTCTACAGGGTCTTGGGTCTACAGGGTCTTGGGTCTACAGGGTTAGGGTCTACAGGGTTAGGGTCTACAGGGTCTTGGGTCTACAGGGTTAGGGTCTACGGGGTCTTGGGTCTACAGGGTTAGGGTCTACAGGGTCTTGGGTCTACAGGGTCTTGGGTCTACGGGGTTAGGGTCTACAGGGTCTTGGGTCTACAGGGTTAGGGTCTACAGGGTTAGGGTCTATGGGGTCTTGGGTCTACAGGTTTAGGGTCTACGGGGTCTTGGGTCTACAGGGTTAGGGTCTACAGGGTCTTGGGTCTACAGGGTCTTGGGTCTACGGGGTTAGGGTCTACAGGGTCTTGGGTCTACAGGGTTAGGGTCTACAGGGTCTTGGGTCTACAGGGTCTTGGGTCTACAGGGTCTTGGGTCTACAGGGTTAGGGTCTACAGGGTCTTGGGTCTACAGGTTTAGGGTCTACGGGGTCTTGGGTCTACAGGGTTAGGGTCTACAGGGTCTTGGGTCTACAGGGTCTTGGGTCTACGGGGTTAGGGTCTACAGGGTCTTGGGTCTACAGGGTTAGGGTCTACAGGGTCTTGGGTCTACAGGGTTAGGGTCTACAGGGTCTTGGGTCTACGGGGTCTTGGGTCTACAGGGTTAGGGTCTACAGGAAGAAATCAGATGGCCTAAAGAGGTTACTAGTATTAGTGTCTTAAGCAGAGTCTTTTACACACACACACACACACACACACACACACACACACACACACACACACACACACACACTTTCTGGCTCTTTAGATCAGACATTAGTTAAGGATTCAGTGCAGATTCTGATCACTGTTGTCTCTTAATTGTGACGTCACTAAGGCGTCCATCCTTCACCTCTCCCTCGGAGATGGGGGAGGGGTTAGTTAATGTGGCTCGGGTAGTTAGGATGCCTCCTGGACGCCTCCCTGGTGAGGTGTTCCGGGCATGTCCAACCGGTAGAGACCTACAGGAAGACGCTGGAGGACTACGTCTCTCACCTGGCCAGGGAACACCCTGGGATTCCCTGGAGGAGCTGGCCCAAGTGGGTGGGGAGAGGGAAGTCTGGGCCTCCCTACTTAGGCCGCTTCCTCCGCGAGCCGACCCGGATTGCAAAGGAAACCGGATGGATGGATATATTAGAACGTTAACGGCATGAACAACATGTTTTCAGCTAGCTTGTTCTGTTGCAGCTTTACCAACTGAAAACGGGACAAACGTTAGCTTCCTAGCTAAAGCTACAAGTCTACAGGGCTAACCCTAAAGCAGCAACATCAGTAGCTCTCCTGCATTAGCTTAGGGAACCTTTAGGACGTAACGTTTCAGATGCTAGCTATTGCATCACTCGCGGTCCTGCGCGTACATGGCTTCATCCTCCCAGGGTGTCGCACTGGGGCTGCTTGGCAGTGATGATAGTTGGGTAAAGGTTTAGGACAGGTGTGTGTAAGCGTGTGTGTCGGGGCCAGCTGAGCCTTTTCTTTGCTGTTTTAACCGTCGGCGCTGTTTCCAAACCACTGTTTAACCTCCACTGTGCCACATGTGATTATACAGCAGTGATGAAGTCTGCATTTGAGATAAAGCTCTGGTTTAGTTTTACCCACTGGTTAGTGAGTGTGTGACAGATCAGGGTTCTAGTTAGAACGTCTGTTCTTGAGTCAAACCCTGTGGTTGAATCTTCCAGTGGAGGATCTGGAGAGGAACGACGGCAGCCCGGAGAGGCCCTACCTGATGCCCGAAAGCCTCCGCAAAATCCTCAAAAAGAAGAACAAGACGGACCCAGCTCAGTAGAGGGCCGGCCCGGGTCTTGGTGAGACGGGACCATTGGTGTCGAGGACAACGGGATCTAAACGAGTTCCGGTTCCCCCGGACTTTGGACTGCAGGCATTTTTAGCTTTAGGTTTTAAGTGTTGTGTTTTAAACCCTTCATGCATGTGTGACTCTGAATATTTGCTGCGAGTTTGTTTTGGTATTTTATCTTCTGAGTGGCTGAGCGTGGATCGTGTCTGATGCTGCTGAACTCTTGTAGGACCGGAAGTGTGCGGATTCATCTCACTCCGTGTTTGTTTGGAGTTCAGATTTCTTATGGTGCAATTTTCAAATAAAAGCTTTGTAAGGAAAAAGTGGCGCTTCGATCTGATTGGTCACGGTTAGCTCCACTCTAAAGATAGAACACACGCTGCTGAAGACACATCACCACCTTCCCAGCAGCGCCGCCCCCGTGCTCGACAGCCGACCCAGAGGTCACGACCTCTCACTTTAACAGGAGTCTGCTGTAGGATCCACTGAGTTTCTGGTTGGATCCTAAAGCTTCGTCCGTGTTGCTGAAACTTCTCTGTTACGTCCGACAGGAGGTGTTGAGATGTGAAGGAGGGGATAACACAAGAAATACGACGTGGAGTTGAAATGGGTTGAATTGTTGTAAAAGGTCCTAAAAGCAAGAGCAAACATGGCGAGCGTTATTAAAATAATGCAAATGAAAAATTCACTGTAAGGTTAACAGTCAAAGCAAATAATCAACCATATAAAACACCTGTTGAAACTATTAAGTTTTACCAAACTGAACAACGAAGTTAGTAAAAGTCCGAGTTAACATTAAAGCACAGTCGACACTAGGTGACACGCACCAAAGATCCATGTGGATCACTCACAGTTACAACTATTACAGTTAAGACTCATCAAAACGAAGGGGTTGAAGCCAGAACGAGGCCTGGAGGACAGCAGAACCCCTGCACTGCTGAAGGCACAGCCTTTTTATCCAGGTGTGGGTCATCAGCAGCCTGGAGGAGGGGGGGCGGGGGGCGGGGTCATCCCGGCTCCTGCATCCCACTGGCCAGGCTGGCAGCCGGAACGTCCACAAAAAGGTTTTAATAAAACTAAACGAGCCGACTGAACCAAACCGGAACACGCCTTTAAGCTTGGAAGGTCAAAGGTCAACTGGCTAAAGCAATTGGCCCCTAAATGAGGACTTTTGACATTTCTCATTATTTTAAAGGTAATCCTTAAACGTGCGGCACGGCCTTGTTTATTGTTTATTTAGTGTTTGGTGTCACGGAACACGTCGGACGAGACGAAATCTGTGTGTGTGTTTTTCCATGCACGCGCGCGCGTGTGTGTGTGTTTTTCCGTGTGTGTGTGTGTGTGTGTGTGTGTGTGTGTGTTTCCGTGTGTGTGTGTGTGTGTGTGTGTTTCCGTGTGTGTGTGTGTTAGATAATTCATCAGAAACATGAACACCAATAATCTGACTGGAACATGATGATTTCTCTGGTTCTAGTTAAACGTTTGTGTGATTCACCTGCTGTGTGTCTGACCATCGATGTGAACACATGAATTATTCACAACAGACGTTACGTAACATGAAGTCATGTGTAATTGAAGGTGTGTTTAGGCTCAGGTCCTGGATTATTCTGGAGCAGCCTGCTAGTCCTGAGGCTGACGTAGTCTGATGTGTCCCAGCCTGAGTGACTTGTTCTGCTGGACCTTCACAAACATCCTTATGGTTCTGTAATAAGCACTAAGGAGCTTCATGCTTTCATTCAACCAGCTGGACTTAATCCCACCGTCGGATTAGCCCACCCAACCAATGAATCTGGCCCTGAAGACCCTTTAAAGGGACCGGCCAGCTGAGAGAATAAGATGCTTTATTATTGTGTACGTGCTTCATGGAAGGTTGTGGGGGAGTTGGTGCATCTCTGTGTTTTAGGTCCAAACGTGTAATTCTACTGGAACAACCAACAGGTCCTGAAATGATTGTTCCACTCCGGTGCAGCAGGTGGCGACACGCGCCCTTTTGTTAGCTTGTAGCAACAGAAGAAGTAAACGGCAGAAGGAGACTGCCATAGACGGGTACCCATAGATAAGTATATAAACGTGTACATATATATATATGTGTGTGTGTGTGTGTGTGTGTGTGTGTGTGTGTGTGTGTGTACCACCTCCAGCAGATGGGGGTGAGGTGTCTAGCCCCACTGCCACAGATTGAACGGGGCTTGAACTTGCTACCCTCCGGTTGCTCTGTCCTGTTCCGTGTTCGGGACTCGGAGTGTGATTCCGTCCTGTTCCGTGTTCGGGACTCGGAGTGTGATTCAGTCCTGTTCCGTGTTCGGGGCTCGGAGTGTGATTCCGTCCTGTTCCGTGTTCGGGACTCGGAGTGTGATTCCGTCCGGTTCCGTGTTCGGGACTCGGAGTGTGATTCCGTCCGGTTCCGTGTTCGGGACTCGGAGTGTGATTCCGTCCTGTTCCGTGTTCGGGACTCGGAGTGTGATTCCGTCCTGTTCTGTGTTCGGGGCTCGGAGTGTGATTCCGTCCTGTTCTGTGTTCGGGGCTCGGAGTGTGATTCCGTCCTGTTCCGTGTTCGGGACTCGGAGTGTGATTCCGTCCTGTTCCGTGTTCGGGACTCGGAGTGTGATTCCGTCCTGTTCCGTGTTCGGGACTCGGAGTGTGATTCCGTTCTGTTCCGTGTTCGGGACTCGAAGTGTGATTCCGTCCTGTTCCGAGTTCGGGACTCGGAGTGTGATTCCGTCCTGTTCTGTGTTCGGGGCTCGGAGTGTGACTGAGACAAAGTGTTTGGATATCAGCTCAAACACAGAATGGGAACGTTATCTTAAATCATAGCACATGTAGCTAAGACATTTCTAAGTAAAACTAAATCCTGATATTCATTGACCAGATCCTAGCAGCTTGTGTGTGACGGTGACATTCAGGGGAGCGAGATGATCCAAGATTTCAAACCAGACTTCCCAGAGTGGCACGATGATGGTCTGTCATTTCAAGCCACGCCTCAAACTGGTCCGATGATCTCTAAAGATGATTTTAGTCTCGCTGCTAAAGTACGGAAGAAATGTGTGAAATATAAATGTGGTACGTGTTTGCTTTGGCTCTCGCGCAAATATGCTGGAACAACGAACGTTCCACAGCATTCCGGTTCTGCCGTAGTCATGAGTGTTCAAACCTTCTAAAGGCATGTGCGGCTTGTGCTCTGGTGATAAGGAGCCGTCTGTTGGCATTCCTCTCTCTCCGTTGCTGCTTCTGTCTAACTTTAAAGTCTTACAATTCCCGAATCCAATGTCCGAATTCTGAAGTTAGTCAGTAAGTCGCTGTGGGGAGAAGGGCTCGAGGACCAAATAACAACCCCAATTCTAGAACCAATAAGTGTCCTTCAAACTGGAAAATGTCCAGAATCCAGATGGGGTGGGTGGGGGTGGGGGGGTGGGGGGGGGGGGGTGTTAAGGTGTGTGTGTGTGCGTGCTTCTCCGTCCCCTGTGAGTCGTGGTGGATGGCTGCTTACTTACTGAGCGAGGATCCTCTGGAGTTTTTTTCCTATCGGAAAACTGCGTAAGCAACTTTCCACGCAAGCTTTGGGATTCATATAAAAATGTAGCAGAAAACTGTGCGCAACTTTAAGTTGACTTGAGGACCTGCTGCTGAGCAGATACAGTTATGGATCCCAGCAGCATTATCACTCGTATTACCACACAGAATTCATGAATCTTCTCGATCAGTAGACGAACGGTGGAGATGTGGTTTATGGTGGAACGGCTGGGCATGAAGCCAGACTTCTGGGGCGGCGGCTGCTCCTGATGGCTGGCAGAGCACGGGTGAGCAGGATCCTGGTAAAGAGCTTGCTGGGGATGGAGAGCAGTGGGATGCCTTTGTGGTTGCACACAGAGTAGTGAAGGGTCCAGGTGGGGCTGAGTCTTGGCGTGCTGGTTGGCTTGCAGCTTTAGCTTGAGCTGGGCCGGACATTCCACGTGGCCACACCGGTTCTGTGATGAAGGTTGATCCATTCTTGTTGGTTGGGGCCAGGCATGGGTCCATTATCGTGTTGGGCAGTCCAGATTCTTTCTCTGGTAGGTTTTGTAACAGGGGATTTGTCCTGGGTGGGTTGATAGCCCTCCACAGGACAGTCGGTTGGCAGGGCTGCTGCCTCACAGTGTACCGGCATGCTGGGGTCTTTGTTTGTCTGGAACCTACCTTGGAGACTGGCCCGCCAAGGGGGACCCTACCAGGAGCAAGCTCCCGATGGTATCGCTCTCCAGGGTCACTGGAACACGCAAGCCCTCTCGCCACAGCAAGGCCAGACCCAAGAGAGAAATATCCCACACGAGTGATAATTAAGGGATTAAGTGAGTTTATACTTTTCTACACAATTAGCTATAAAACAACAACATTTAAAGCTTAAGCAGCCTGTAAGGGTTTCCTGTAAATGAATGTCTGCTTCATGTCAGACCTCACGAGATCCACGCATCTATTAGCACAGAAAGTGTGTGAAAGACTTTCAGCTACTAACCACATCAAACAAGTGTGTGAGGCAGCCATCTTAAAAATGAGTCTGATGTAGATCTACGGGTGGAGAAGAACTTCTCCCACAGGTCTGGGCATGAAGGCGCCTGTGTTAGGCTAGGCCTCTGCTCTGTGTGCTTCGTCATCACTTTCTTGCATGTTGGTGATCGGTTTGATTATATTTGTCGCCTTATCAAGTTTGTCAACAAACTGTGTCTCAGCTGTCAGTCAATACCATTAAGATCGGCACACACTTTTCCGCATTAAGGAGCATATGCAGATAGCTTGTGTTACCTGGGACAGGTATGTCGAATTTTTCTCTCCAACTTTTGTTTGTGCCACGCCAGCACGGGAATGCTCGCGGCCCTCAAGCCGCCGTGGATGGAGAAGGAAGCGTGGATCTAGAGCTGGAATCCAGTCCAGGCTAAGAAAACATTATGGGAAAACATCTGTATGGAGTGAGTCCAGATTTGCAATGAGTAAGTGATGCCTCCGACTGGTGCCAGTCTATGCACCACAATGTGGTCCCGTGGAGGCGCCAGTGCTGTCCCATGCGGTGCCGCGATCGTGGCTCTCGGACCGGACTTTCCCGTCCCAACGTAGCCGGTTCCATACATCCCGTGAGCGGATCCTCCGAGCTGCCCCCTACCAGGCGGAATGTGTGAATGGCGCCTGCTCTCCAGTGCGGTGCCAACCTGCCCAGAGCGCATCAGCGGCCCAGTGCGCAAAGACGGCAAGGATCGCCCTGCTGAACGTTCGCTCCATAGCGAATAAAACTTTCATCCTTGGAGATATGTTTAATGAAGAACGTCTGGATTTAATGTTTTTGACAGAAACTTGG